TGGAATTTGAAGTTTAAAACAGAACACCATTTACTTTAGCACCCCAAAAATGCAATACTTAGGTACAAGTCTAACAAAATACATACCAGATTTATATGAGAAAATCAACAAAACTGATGAACAAAATCAAAGAACAAAATAAATGGAGAGATATTCTATGTTCATAGATAGGAAGACTCCTTATTGTGAAGATGTCGGTTATTTCCAATTGGCTCTATAAATTCAGTGCAATCCCAAGCAAAATATCAGAAGTCATTTGTGGATATCAACAAACTGATTTTAAAGTTAAATGGGCAGGCAAAAGACCAGAATAGCCAGCAAAATATTGAAGGAGAACAAAATTGGAGGACTGATACTCCTCAACTTCAAGACTTACTATAAAGCTACACTAGTCAACATAGTGTGGTATTGGTGGAAAAATAAAAGACAAATAGATCAGTGAATCAGAATAGAGAGCCCAGAAATAGACCAACATAAATATGGTCAACTGATCTTTGACAGGGGAGCAAAGACAATACAACGGAGCAAAGATGATCTTTTCAACAAATAGTGCTGTAACAATTGGACATCCACATGCAAAAAAATGAATCTAAGCACAGACCTTATGCCCTTCACAAAATTGTACTCAAAATGGACCATACATCTAAATGTAAAATATAAAACCATAAGACTCCTAAAACATAAGAGAAAACCTAGATAACTTTGAATATGGTGATGACTTTTTAGCTGCAATACCAAAGACATGATTCATGAAAGAAGTAATTGGTAAGCTGTACTTCATTAAAATTTAAAACATTGCTCTGTGAAAGACAATTTTAAGAGAATTAGAAGCCAAGCCACAGACTGGGAGAAAATATTTGCAAAAGACACATCTGATAAAAGACTATTATCCAAAATATACAAAAAAAACTCTTAAAACTCAACAAGAAAAACACAAACAACCCAATTAAAAAATGAGTGAAAGACCTCATCAGACACCTCTCCAAAGAAGATATACAGAGAGCAAGTAGGGATATAAAAAGATATTCCTGGGCTGGGCGCAGTGGCTTACACCTGTAATCCCAGCACTTTGGGAGGCTGAGGCAGGTGAATCACCTGAGGTCAGGAGTTCAAGACTAGTCTGGCCAACATGGAGAAACCCCATTTCTACTAAAATTATAAAAATTAGCTGGGCATGTCCTATGTCAACAGGCATCAGGAAAATGGAAACTAAGACAACAATGAAATACCACTTCACGCCTATCACACTGACCAAAATCTGGACAGCACCAAATGCCGGTGAGAACATGGAGCAACTGACAGCACCAAATACCGGTGAGAACGTGGAGCAACTTTTATTCATTGCAAGTGGGAATGCAAAATGGTACAGCCACTTTGGAAGACAGTTTGGCAGTTTCTTACAAAACTGTACATACTCTTACCATTCAGCACAACAGTCATGCTTCTTTCTATTTACCCAAAGGCATTAAAAAAAAAACTTATGTTGACATAAAAACCCGCACATGGATGGTTATAGCATCTTTATTAATAATTGCCAAAACTTGGAAGCAACCAAGATGTCCTTCAGTAAATGAATAGACAAATAAACTGTGGCACAAACAGACAGTAGAATATTATTCAGCACTGAAAATAACTATCAAGTCATGAAAAGACATGAAGGAAACTTAAATTCATATTACTAAGTCAAAGAATCCAATCTGAACAGACTACATGCTATGTAATTTTACCTATATGACATTCTGGAAAAGGCAAAACTGTGGAGACTGTAAAAAGATTAGTGGTTGGCAGGGAATATGAATAGGTGGAACACAGAGGAGTTTGGGGGCAGTGAAAATACTCTGTATGATACTGTAACGATGTTATACATTTGTCCAAACCCACAGAATGTACAACTGAATGCTAATGTAAAGTATGGATTTTTTAGTGATAATGATGTATCAGAGTAGTTTCATTAATTCTAAAAAATGTACCACTCTGGTGAGGGATGTTGATAATGGGGAGGCTATGCATGTGTAGGGGCAGGGTATATGTGCAAACTTTCTGTAACCTCTGTTCAGTTTTTTTGTGAACCTGAAACTCAAAAATATTTAAAGCCAAATGAAGCTAATGTACTAAGCCATGAATCAAGTTTGTGGAATAACCCCAAATAGAGGAACAATTCCAAGTGTTTTAAAAACATAGTAATTTGGGTGCATATTTCAAGGGGCTGCATTCTAAGGATAAAAAGAACTACAAAGAAAAAAATTGTAATGTTTTAAGTAATTATATAGTTAGTGGTAATGCTGGTATTTGGTTACTGTTCAGTATGTACTGCAGGAAAGTGCAAGCGAATATTTATATTGTTGTTATTGAATATTGGGATGTTTGGCATGAAAGAAAGGAGATTCAGCTGTAAATTGATTAGGTTAAGTAAAAACTGTAGCCCTGGATTTATTTAAAGGTATTAATTTGAACCATATGAAATTGCTGTTTCTCTAGTCAAAAACCATTGAATCTTGGCAACTGAATAGGGTTCAACATAATGCCAGCATGACCCATCAATGTATTTTGTCTCTTAGAAAATCATGTATTTCCTGGTTCTGTCCTTTGAAATGTTCTAGAAACAAGAGCCAATCTCATAGCAATTTGCATGCTTCTTGATTCTTGGACCCAGATTTGAGTGACCAGTGTTACCTGGTGTGCCCAGACTTCCCAGTTTCCGCACCCAAATTTCACATCCCAGGAAACTCCTCAGTTTCAGGAAAACCAGGATGATTGGCCACCTTCACCCAGATTATGGTATCTAATTACCATTTCCCATGAAAATGAACCAGGGCCTTTGGGACAGTTGGCTGATTCCATATCTGGCGCATGGAATGCATTAAAATAAGCCTTGAATATCTTGTTTTACCGCATAACAAGAAAGCTATCAAAAAGACTTACTATGATGGTACCAACAGGACTCAGGAGCCACTCTGAAGAGGTTCCCTCTGGCCAAAAATAAGACAATTGGAACATCAATAAGAATAACAACTTCAGTAGATTGAAACACATCAATTGTGCTCAGTTCATGAGTTCATAATGGTACTAAAAACAAATTTAAAAACTCATTGGTCATCTCTAGAGAATGCTTGGGAGCTAACTCATTATTTTGAAAAAACGGTAAAGAAAGAGAAGAATCAAACACTGTTTTTCCTTTATAAACTGAACCTCAGAGTAACCACATTGTTGATGGGGGCAGTTTATCTTTATGTGAAGATTGTAGTTAGTAAAGAAGGAATGATAGACTAAACCACTCTACAAACCCTTGATGAAATTATGGCTCTAGACAATGATCTTCAATGGCATTGACATCATGAAAAGAAAAGCAACCAGCCATTGTATGCCACCTGAGGAAAGTATACAAACACTACTGGGGGAGTATTATTGCCAAAGAAAATCTGAATTCTGCTACTAAAGAAGGGAAAATGATGTTCAGGGGCACCTATCAGTTTCTTCTCAAATCTGACCAATAGGTGACTGCCTATTTGTTCCAACACACCTGTGTTCTTAATAAAAGGAAAGTGTGATCTTATTCTTATTTATTCATTCATTTTCTCTCTCTCTTCTTCCTCTCCCTTCCTTTCCCCTCCTTTCCCATATCCATGTCACATTTGCTCTTAGTGACCCCTCCCCAGTCATTTAGCAGTGCACTCTGTACTCTGATTTTGGATTTTCAATAGCTGGATAGAGTTTACCTCGTGAACATACCACAGTTTTTTGTGAAAACAAGGGGCTGCTGTGAAAACAACTTAGGTTATTTTTGCCTTATGGTATACTAAGTAAGGCTGCAGTAAATATCTTTGTGCCTTTTTACGGGGAGAAGAAGGGCACACCATTGGTAGTTTCCCCAGGATGACATCTTAGAAATGGAATTGCAGAGTCACAAAATGTTAATAGAGATACCAATAACATCTACTCAATAGGTTAATGACAATATATAACAGCTGTTCTTAAGTGCAACTACCCTATGAGATAAGTATATTTATTAGTCCCATGTATAGTTACCCTAGGAGAAAATGGAGGCACTGAGAGGTTAAGGCACTTGCCCAACATTGTAATGACTTAGTGAGACTATAGGCACATGACTTAGTACAATGCCTAGATGCTTCATGATAAATATTTTTAAGGCTTATTATATACAACTGCCAGAATTGCCCTACCAAACACAATGCCAAATTCTGCTTCCACTGGCAATATGAAATGGTCAGAAACAAACCTTCTAGTGGAATATTTGCTTCTTTTATTAAATAACACAGGGTCTGGAATGTATCAAGCTTGTGCATATAAGTTTGTTTAGAAATAGTCGAATCTTGTTATTCATAGTAGTTCTACAGGGTCAAGTTAACACTGAAATAGCAAGTACTGAAGTAACGTTCCTGGGGGAAATACAGGGGTAGGTTCCTATAAGCCTCTAGTCATAACATTTTTGTTAATGATCTGTTTATAACCTCGTTTTATGTGTGTTTTGTTTAAATAAACCTTAATATATAGTGTTGATTTATTAACATTAAACTCATAGCCAACAGCACTATAACTCATGCCTAAGTGAAGCTTATCTAATACACCTATTTTCTCTGCAAGGCACATCGCAGCCTTCTTGCACTTAGGAACTCTTGTCAGCACTTCAACACTATACTTTGGGACCATTTAAAATAGTGAAATCACCAACAAAAAAGCATAAAAATGCAAAATCATGGCACTAAATAGACTGCAAATAGGACACTTGTTAACAGTGTAAGAACTGAAACAAGAAGGCAGAGCTTCACTTTCTTCCACCTCTGCTGGGAATCTGCTTATTGGGTGACTCAAAAGTTTTCATCACTGTTCTTATGTCTGAGAATGACTGCTATGGGTGTTGATTTGTGGACTACAAATAAATTTCAGCAAATAAGCAAATTGCAAGGTGGAATCTGCAAATAATGAGGATCCATTTTGATCAGCTCAACTAGTTGAATTTCTTTTCTTTTCTTTTTTTATAGGTCATTCAAGACACAGATATGCACTTATACCTGCAGCATCAGCACTAATTGTAACATGTGTTGTGCTGTATGTGCGTGGTATGTATGTTTTTTAAAACAAAATAATTTTCAAACTTGCATTGGTTTTCCAAAGGCCAGAAAATAGTTTAAGGATGAAAATAAAGTTTGAAATTTTAGATATTTGAAAAGAAACAAAAGCTCTTTTGCTTTACTTATGTGGGACTGCTGAGCATGCTAGGTTCCTCCAAAGATCCTACATTATCTCAAGGTTGAATGAATCCTTGGGCCACAGAGAGCTTTACAGGCCTGGGAACATAGCCTGGACCTGTTGCATAGTCTCCTTTTACCTGTGATCTGCTTCAAAATATAGTTAAACTTCTGGTCTTCAAGTCGGAGTTTGCTAAAGACTTCTTTAGGCTGCCACCTGTGTAATTTTCATGTCGTATACCACGAATGGGGCTCCCAGGTAGGAAAGGAGTTTTGGTTGAGTGAAGTGACTTGTGTAATACAAGTAATCGCGCTTGTATTACCTGAGCCTTTCTCAGTCCCCCAGCGATCTTGGGCCAGTCACACAGCTTGGAGAACTGATGACTTGGAGAATTTGTTCCCAGCCTGTTCATTCCTGGTAATGAGTAATCCCTCTCAAATCCCAAAAGACAGAGAGCAGGCTGTAAATCTGAAGAGTAGATATTCTTGATGCCACAGCAGTTTCCATATCAGCCTTCACCAAAAAGAAATAGACCAGACAGAGAATGCCAAAAAGTAAACTTTCTACAAGTGATAGCATCTAGGACCCATTGTGTCTTGAATCAAGTTTGTAAACTAGTTTCAGTTTCCCTAGACCTGCACTGTTCAGTATAGTAGCCAATTAGCCACGTGTGATTATTTAAATATAGAATTTAAAATGAAATACCATTAAATTTAAGATTCATTCCTCAGTTGCACTAACCACCTTTGAAGTACTCAATACCTACATCTGGCTAGTGGCTACCATACTGGATAGCCCAGATAAGGAATAATCCTATCATTGCAGAAAGTTTTCTTGGTCATTGCAGACCTAGACTATTTTGGGATATCAGTGCTAAATATAATTTCCTGAAAATAACATTTTCATATTATAAGTTGTAAATACCATGAAAATCCATCCCTAAGTAATAGATTATCAATCAGTTGACTCTCCACTAAACAGTATTATAACAATCAGCTGAAGAAAGTTTTCAGCTATTACCCGGTGCATAAAATATTTTGGGAGCTCAGATTTTTAAAAAATCTATTTTAATCCCCAAATAGCAGTATAATAGTTAATTATGTCCTGAACAGGTTGGTTCCTAGAATCCAAAATCATTTTCCACTCAGATCTAATTGTTGTTGTAGATCTCAATTAAAGGACTAACCCAGGATGTCTGAGCTAAAGAGAGGTGGCACTGAGTTTCCATAGAACTTCAAAACAATTGGATTTAACTTAAAAAAAAAAGGTCATTCAATATACAGAAAATTACTCCCATGGTCAGTACTGTTAGCCCCAGATAATCTGAAAAAATTTGTTCTTAAAAAAAAAAAAAAATTGGAGGCCAGGCATAGTGGCTCATGCCTGTAATCCCAGCACATTGAGAGGTTGAGGTGGGTGCATCAACAACATGGTGAAACACTATCTCTACAAAAAAAATACAAAAATTAGCCAGGCATGGGGGTGCATGCCTGTAGTCCTAGCTATTCAGGAGACTGAGGCGGGAGGGAGGCAGAGGTTGCAGTGAGCTGAGATTGTGCCACTGCACTCCAGCCTGGGTGATGGAGTGAGACCCTGTCTCAAAAAAACAAAAAAACTCAGCAAGCATCTCAACCTTTAAGCAACCTTAATGTCATTAATTGGGAAACAGTGAGATGTTTGGCATGGAACCTTCAGAAGAGGAAAGAGTTGAATGGAAACAGCTCCAGCTGCCTAGTTGTAGTTGACAGACAACTTTATAAGCTCTAGTCAACCCTATTGACTAGGCTTCTGGACCACTAGCATACTTCTAGGGTAGGGCGAATGCCTACTGTGGGCAGGAAAGCAATGCATGCATGTGTGGGAGCACTGTCTTGATGTCTGAAATAGTACCCATGAGCTACATGTGGCTATGGAGCACTTCAAATGTGGGAGTCCAAATTATCATGTGCTGTGAGTATAAAATAATAAGTTTCTAAGACCCTGTGTGAAAGAATGTAAAATATCTCATTAGAAAATGTTTATATTGAGTACATGTGGAAATAATTTTATATTTGTGACAGATTATGCTAAATAAAATATTAAAAATTACATTTTTCTTCTTACTTTGTAATGTGGTTACCAAAAATTTTAAATTGCTTATGTGGCTTGCATTATATTTCTATTAGACAGCACTGGTCCAACCCATTCTAGCCTTCCCTGCATCTTCAGCCTTATGCATAAGGTAAAATTAGCTATTTTGCCAACAGTTTTTGCATTTGGTTTTCTATCATGTTCTGACCAATTTTGTACAACTCTTTGGACCAGCTCTGTAGCCAATTTGATTTAAGCATACAGGATAGCAGGAAATCCCAGGGTGATGGGGCTCTGGCTTAGTTTTCCATATTTAGGCCTCTAATAGGCAGTCAGTAACCCCACATTTCAGCTTTTCTTTTCAGTTCTTTAATTGAGAAGACAACTTATTCATTTTTAGGTACTCGGAAATGTGGCAGAAAACCAGACAGAAGCAAGTAAGTAACCTGCAGGCTGTGCACGGTGTGCCAGAACAACAGCAGCCCTGCTGTAGATGCCCATTACTTGGGAAGCCAGATTCTACTCATCTGTTGGTTGCTTTGTACAGTAATAAGAAGTAACATCAGCAGATATACGAACCATAGTGTATTAAGTACCAACTGTGTACCATGCACTGCACTAGCCACTCTCTGCATGTCATCTCCTGGAACCCTCTCAATGAACCTTGCAGGAGGAGTATTCTACCCCTTGCTTAGAGACAGTGCACATGAGATTTGTAGAAGTCAAGTGAGATATCAAGGTCACATTTCTAATAAGTGGTGGGCTAGGATTTAAATCTAAGTCTTTGGACTCCGAGAGTTATACTGTTAAGCACTGCAATACACTCCCTCCACCTCCCATTCCAGGAAAAGTTGGATCAGGGATAGGGTTCACTTCAGGAGCCAGGGTCAGAGCTGAGCTTGTAGTCGCAAATAAAAGATAGGACACAAACACAATTAGCAGCAATGTTGGTTTAGTAAACTGCCATAGGATGCTCCAGGAGGCCCCCTCCTAGCAGATCCCACTGGTAGTCAGGAGGCAGAAGCACGAGCTGGGTGTTGAGGGATGAGGGGAAGAGTTAAGGCCCAGGGTGTGAAGGGCAGAAGAAGAAGTAGCAAGCCATCCTCTTTGGAGCAGCGAGTGTTGAGGCGTTAGAGAAAGATGGTGCTGGGCCGGCAGGTTGGGCCAGGCTGAGACTTTGAGAGAGGCTTTGGGTCATTTGGGGAGAACCGCAGAGTTTTCTAGCAGAACTATGCTTTAGTAAGATCACTCTGCTGGCAAAGCATGGGACGAATTAATAGGAGATGAGATGAGGACACTGGTTAGTAGAGTAATGAAATAATCCAGCCAAGCAGAGAAGAGGGGCTGAGTCGGGGTGATGGTGGCAGAACTGAATACGCAGAGCTAGGTTTGAGAGAAACAGCAGAGGTCCTGTTAGCAAAACTTTCATCTGGCAGTGTAGGCTCTGGTGCCAAACCCCCTGGTTCAGATGCCAGCTCCATTTCTCACAGGCCTTGGACAAGTCACTTAAATTCTCAGTGCTTTGGTTGTTTTCTGTGGAAAATGGGCATAATAATATAGAAATGACAATGATAGCATAGATAATAACAGAAATAACTGTGTCAAAATATAGTAATATAAGTAAAATGCTTACAATAGTGGCTGGCTCGTAATAGTGTTCAATAAATGTTAGCCATTATGATGATTGTTACTATTATTTTTCAAGAAAAATAAAAGTGACAGGACCAAGTGTCCCAGAGGAGTCACATAGGAATCTTGCTTGGGAAGGAAAATTGTGAATTTTTGCTTTGACAAGTTGATTTTGGGGTGCTGGTGTATTACCTGGGTAGTGATGTCCATGTACAGAATTGGAGATGTGAGTTTCAGGCTAGAGTTACAGATTGGGGCCCCTCTTCATCCGGACAGTAATTGATGCCATGAACACCTGAGGTCACTAAAAAAGAAAAACCAGATGCCCTAGGGTGATGGGAAAAAAGCAGAGGAGGCAGGACTGGGGAAGCAAAGTCCAGGATCAGAGCCAGGGTACCCCCACATTAGAGACTTGAGGGAGGAGGCTACATGTTAAAGTTGCAAAGACAAGGAGGTAGGCGAGGGGTTAAGACCTTTGGTTTTGTTGAGTCAGTTGCTGTGGTCAGTGCAGGGATGAAGGGAGGATGGCTAAGCAGCAGCAAGGACCTAGGTGAGGTGGGATCGATGGATGGGCCACAAGGTGTCCTTTCTCCTCAGCTGCCAAGTGGAACAGCGCAGGAGAAACAAGCTGTGGCAGGAGGCGTGGAGGCAAGGGAGTCCAAGGGGCAGCTCAGTCAGCCACAGGCCCAAGCTGGGAGGACCCAAGGCCATGAGGGGTTGAAGGGCCGGGAGGCCAGGCAGAGAGGAACCCAGTAGCTGGAGATGAGGTGAGGCAGGAGAGATAGAGACCTCCAGGCTTGTGGTCAGAGGAGGGCATTTCAGATCTGAACAATATGCGTGAGCCCCAGTGAGAGTGCAAGAGCCAAGTCAGGTCTCTGCTGAGATCTAGGTGGTTACAGTGGAGGGGAACTCTTGAGTGGTTGGGGGAGGCAAAGCCACCACCACCAATGATGGGGGTAGGGGGGCATCATCCAGGGCCATGGGGAAAGGCAATGGGCATTCCAGAACTCATTCCTTCATCTGTTCCTTTCATCACAACAAACATTTTGGAGATTAGGCGATACCAGGCACTGTGCGAGCTAATAGGGTGGGGTCAGAGTACCCAGCGAGGCTAGACATTGTGTGGGATTCAGAGAAAGCATATAATAGGGTTCCTCCCACAAGAAGCTTGTGGCCACTCCAGGGAGAGAGAATGGATGCACGTGAGCGTAAGAAACTCTTAGAAGGACTTAGGCAGGAAGCACAGGTGATAGGCAGAATGTGTGATACGATGGTGAGGGCTGAGCAACCAATGCAGGGGAGTTGAAGAGGCCAGAATAATCAGAAAAGCTTTGGAGGGGGTAGGATGTGACCTACATTTTCAGAATGAGAGTGGAATAGAAAAGCCTTTCCAGGTGGGATAAACAGCAGAGGCAAATACATGAGAGGGAATTAAATCTGTTGTGATTTATTTGATAGTAAGGTTGACCTGCCTGGCATCGAGTTGAAGTAGAGGCAAAAGACACTGAATATTTGCAAGGAGGTCCTTGGAATGGAGTGATATGGAAATAGGCAGCCATTGTAGGTTCTTGAGCAGGAACATTTTGCATGAAAAGCACTGCTTTGGAATGAAGAGTCTAGAAAGGGAACACTGACCTCCCTAAGGTGACATTCTAGGGAGAGACCCGAGTATTTGGGGCTGAGATTGAGAGAAGAGCTTACTTTTCTTGGTATATTTTTATTTACTATTCAAATTCTGCATCATGTGTGTTTACTGCCTATTTAATAATCAGTTTTAAACTTAAAGAACCCACTGTGGCAGCAGGGGGAATTCCCTAAGCTCAGTTACTAAAGGGTTATGAAGCTGGGTGTGGTAGCACACACCTGTAGTCTCAGCTACTTGGGAGGCTGAGGTGGGAGGATTACATGAGCTTAGGAGTTAGTGGGAGGATTTCTTGAGCCTAGTAGTTAGAGACCAGCCTGGGCATCCAAAAAATTAAGTTAAATTAAAATGTTAAAAGGTTCTATATATGGTGGAGATGGAGGGGATCGGGGGAGGAGATGAGAAAGGGGCAAGCATAACCAGGAACAAATGCGATATTTCCCCAGCTGCATGAGGGCAGGACCAGGAAGAACTAAACCCAATTAGGAACAACAGAGGACAGATGAGTAGATAAGCAGACATCTGACGGGAAATGACCACGCCACACTTCCCACCCCGGCAGTTCAACATAGGCAATTTCTGAGTGCCCTGGTATTTTTTGTGTAAGCGTCTAGAAAACAGATCACAAAGTCAGCCAAATTAAAAAGGAAACAGGGAGTCCTATTTCTCCGAGAAGAATGATTTACAGGTGGGATCTCAGGCAGGAGCCAAGCTGGAGAAGCAGGCTTGATTCCTTCTAGTGGGTGAGGAGACTGCTGGGAGAGGGCAGGGGAGCAGAGACCGGCAAAAAGCTGTCCCAGCAAGAATCCTGTGCCAGCCAACCTGGTTTAAAAACATTTCCCACTGTCTTTATCCCCCTCAGAAAGTCACACCACCCATTTCATGTTCTGTGAGGCTCCCAAGGAGGGAAACTTGTAGTTTGCTCTCCTTTACCTCACCCCGTGACCCCAGCACTAATTTCTCATGAATTCTTGTTACTGATGAGATACAAATGTTTGGGGAGCTCTGGCCTGGTCTGATTTTGAGCTCCATGGAAATACGCAGACCATGGGGGAGGAGGCCAGGAAATGGACTCGGTTTGAGGGCTTGCTCAAGGATGTGGTTTTGTTTTTTGGCGGATTTACTCTGAGACAGCCAGAGATTGTTCTGTCATTGCCACAGAGGTGACTAAGAGGAAGATAAGTTTGAGTTGGAAGAGAACCATCCCCAGGAGTTTCATGTAGCGAAGAAGGAAGTAGCTGTTAGAAATGGGTGACAGTTTACATAGGGGTCTAACAGTCTCAGCTCTGTTTTTCAGTCTTTCAGTTATACTCAGAGAGTCGGCGGGAGGAGCCTTGGGGCTGCTATTGAGTGCAGCCTCCTGAAGGCTGTTCTTCAGGTGGGACTCAGACTACCATCCCAAGAGCACTCAAGGCGGTTCTTCCTCCATCCCTGCTCCCTAGCTCCCTGGCTTTGATGAGTTTATTACAAAAGGGCTATTCACATTGGAATAGGAGGGTAATTAAGACTCCTGGTCTGCAGCCCAGATTTACTGCATTTTACAAGTTAATAATATGAAATTTTTTTTTGTAGCTCCAATTGATTGGTAACAGAAGATGAAGACAACAGCATAACAAATTATTTTGAAAACTAAAAAGCCATCTAATTTCTCATTTGAAGAGAAATTTTTGAAAAATTTCCATTTTCGAAGAACTGTTGGAAATGTAACTTGAAGCAGGTATTTTTTTTTTAAGAAGAAATACCTACAAACAAAGAATATGCATTAGTTTCAAGTGTCATCAACCTATTATATGACGGGGTGCTTGCTTTTTTGTCACTAAATTGTTTTTACTGATGATATGGAAACTTTTGTAAATAAATGTAAATATGTACATAAGTGACTAGGTGGTTTGTCTACTGTTTTCCTAAGATAGAAAAATAAGGGTCACGTACCCTTTTAAAATCTATACTCTTTCTCCCTTGCTTTAGGGGAAAAATAATTCATTATAGGGTCATTCATGGGGTGAGGGAGAAAAGTACTGTCCCTCATTGGGTTCCACTGCGGTAGGTAGGAGGCAAGTGAACACATGGGTCTTTACTTCTGCTGCTTTTGAAAAGACCAGATCACCACCATCCAGTGCAGTTGTATAACACAGGTGGGGCGGGGAGGCTTCTCTCGCTGCCATTCATTAGCCTACTTAGTTTGTTGCATTGGTTAGCTGTCACACTGGGAGGTCAACGCAGACAATAGCTGGAAAACCGTAGTCATAACAAATACTGAGTGGCAACCACTCCTGAGGAGGTGGACGGCGCCAGTTGCCCCCAGCAGCCATGTAAACCCAAGTCAATACACAGACGCTTCAGCTTGTGCCTGCACTGGAATTCCTATCACATGAGAGTCTCCAGCCTGAAGGAAGAAATCAACATTTCTTGACTCCAAGATAGGCCTGTCAAGGCAGGTGGACCACGAGGTCAGGAGATCGAGACCATTCTGGCTAACATGGTGAAACCCCAACTCTACTAAAAATACAAAAAATTAGCCAGGCGTGGTGGCGGGCGCCTGTAGTCCCAGCTCCTCAGGAGGCTGAGGCAGGAGAATGGCGTGAACCCGGGAGGCGGAGCTTGCAGTGAGCTGAGGTCGCACCACTGCACTCCAGCCTGGAGGACAGAATGAGACTCCATCTCAAAAAAAACAAAAACAAAAACAAAACAAAACAAAAAAGCCTTTGGGCTACATGTGTTCTCTCTAGAACAGCCTGCATCTGAACTTCCACAGGCCTCAGCAAGAGTGGGAAAGGAGCCCTGAGTGTTTCCAGGAAGACCCGCATCTCCCCAGCTCCCCCATCTCCAGGTGGCATGGCTTCCTATCCTGTCTCAGACTAATCTTGTCAAACCCTTTATCCCAGGCCCTGTAGGAAGCCCATGACTCACCTGGAGACTTCTGTCCCATGTAGCTCTGTATGCCCCGCTTTCTGCCCCCATCCATCAGCAGCGACATCCCTGATGTCCTCTTCTGTGAATGTCTCCTTTGCCTCGCTGTTCTAATCGAAACCCAACTCTCCCCGGGGATGCTGCCTCCCACAGCCTCTCAAGGAGTAGCTGTTTTCTTTCCTGCATCCCTTGTATTCAGGGATTGGGAGAAAGAAGATGTCCTCCTTGCTCTTCTCTGCCTGCAGACCAGTGCTCTTTCCTTAACTTTGATGCTCATGCCAGCTAATCATCACCACCTGACATCCCTTGTTCCAGTTATCTTTGTTATTCCTCACCCCTTGGAGGTTTTAGCACTATGTCAAAGTCTTCTCTGTGACATCACTTCTTCCAGATTTTGAATGCTTTCAAAACCTACAAATCTAATAGCCTAGCATGGTCTTTTCTTCTTTTTTTAGCTAGCCGCCCCATAGCCATACTCCTGTCCTATATCTGCAGCATGCCCACATAGTCTCTGTAACAAGCATCTGACTTTGCTAGTCCCTACTTCATATCTTCCACGTCACTCCCTTGAGGGCTCCAACTCCAAAAATTCTTCAACCCCACTAGAACCTACAAGCCAGTGACCTTGCTACCTGTTCCCTGGCCCTGAACCCCTTCGAGTTCTCACTCTTCCTCTTACCTGGCTTAGATTCCCATTGTTCATCATTACAATTACTCCTTTTCCTTTTCTTTTTCTTTTCTTTTCTTTTCTATTCTTTTCTTTTTTTCTTTTCTTTTCTTTTCTTCTTTGAGACGGACTTTCACTCTTGCTGCCCAGGCTGGAGTGCAGTGGCGCGATCTTGGCTCACTGCAACCTCCACCTCCCAGGTTCAGCCTTCCAAGTAGCTGGGATTACAGGTGTGCGCCACCACGCCCAGCTAATTTATTTATTTTTTTTTTGTATTGTTAGTAGAGATGGGGTTTCACCATTTTGGCCAGACTAGTCTTGAACTCCTGACCTCAGGTGATTTGCCTGCCTTGGCCTCCCAAAGTGCTGGGATTACAGGCATGAGCCACTGCGCCTGGCCTACAAATACTCCTTTACCATCACTCTTTTCCTCTCTCACTTTGCCATTCTCATTTGGCCAAGTCCCAGCCATGGTTATAGTTATCTCTACCAGTTTCCTCTCTGCACCCAAACCGCTGGATGTACCTGGAGAAAAATTGACCACCAAGCTGATTAGTTTATCTTTAATTACTTCAAACGTTTGGCAGATTTGTAGTGTTTCTCAAATGTCTTCATTACATTGCTTTGTTGCCGTCTCTTCACTTGTCTTCCTAGATCTTCAATCCTGTGTCCTCACTCTCAACTGATCACTTTGCTTCTCAACTCTCTGGAAAAAAATAGCATTCAGAAGAGACCTCCCTCACACTTCCATCACATCTACACACCCAGCTCCCTCAGCACCACTGCACTTTGCCTCCCCTCCTCTTAATCTAGGATACACTCTCCTTGCTCCTCCTAAAACCAGTCTCTTCATTTGTATTAGTCTGTTTGGATGGTGCTGGCTGTCTTAAACACATGTTTACTTCTCATAGTTCTAGAGGCTGGAAAGTCGAAGAACAAGGTGCTGGCCAATTCAGTTCCTGGTGAGGGCTGTCTTCTTGGCTTCCAGATAGCCACCTTATCGCCCTGTCCTCAGTTTTTTGTTTTGCATATGAAGAAATGGACAGAGACTTGTCTCAGGTCAGTTATAAGTGGCGGAGCCAGGATTCAACCCCAAACAGTGTGGCCCCAGAAGTCTCTTAACCACCAAGCTCTAATGTAAGAAGATAAATGTGTGCAGTCAATCTTCCACATATAGTAGGGAGCCCTCCGAAAGTCTTCTCCAAGTTTTGTTTTGTGTTTGCTCCAAGAAAGAGTCTATCTTTAATTTAGGTATTCTCTAAAGAGGTCATTGGCTTTTAACCACTTACGTTGAGCATGTAGCAAATACATCGAATACTAAGCTGAACTCTGCCTTCTAGACTCTTAAGGCTAGATGGGTCCTCAGAGACCTCGTCAGACAGACAAGAAAACTTGGACTGCGATAGGGAAGGTAATTGGACCAAGGTCATGTACCTAGTTCATGGCAGGAACTCCAGTACCCTGGTCTCCACTCCAGTGCTTTTCCACAACACCAGGGTGCCTTCCCACAACCACTCCTGGTGTGGAGTGGCACCGGTTTGGGGAAGATGGCACTGGCTTCTGGGCTATGCAGCGTGAGCCCAGCTGCAGCCCAGCACCTGGCGACGACTTGTGGTGCTGGGCGTTTTGGGAGGCATCTCTGGGTCAGAGCGGGAGTGGTGGATAATGGCAGAAGTACATTCAATGTGAACAAATATGTGGACTGCCCAAGCTGCCTGTGTTGACGTCTGATATCTAGAAAATGAGGTCGAGTCCTTCCTCTCTCCCCAAGCCTTTCCTCTTCTTGATCTCAACAATTCTTTTTCTTTTTCAAGATCCTTCCATGCAAAGGAAAAACTAGTGCTCATTGGAGTAGGCCCACATGGCTTGATTTGGGGATGACTGAAAAGCACCCCCAAAGAGGCAGTCTCCCACAGCAGGCTCCTGAAATCCCACACCTCTCACTGCTGTAGATGAAAGCAATTTAGGCTGTGAACATTACAACAGTCTGCTTGGGAAGGATGGCTCATGATACCGCTTCATCAGCATGCATCTGCTGAGAACCATTGCCCTGGCAACCCACATGTAGCCTGGAGCAAAAGAAAAATGTGGGCCTCTGTGGTACAGGTCTTGATGTATTTCCCTTTAAAAAAAAATTTTCTTTCTTTTTTTTTTTTTTTCACTTTTAAAAAATACAAAAACAGGTTCTTGTTATGTTGCCCAGGCTAGCCTTGAATTCCAGGCTCAAGAGATACTCCCGCCTCAGCCTCCCAAAGTGCCTTGGATTACAGGTGTGAGCCATACACCTGGCCTTGATGTATTTTAATTGGTTATTTTTTTTTCAGAACATTGAGGTAGCATAAAAAAAAGCTGGAAAATTGAAAAGTAGGTACATTAAAACTCTATATTAAGTTTAAATATTTTACTGATACCAAACAAACAAACAAAAGCCCCAGAATTTATTAGAATGTTACTTTCCTGGCTTTGATGGAAGAACACTCATTAGTAAAAATTTCAAAATCTACTTCCTATTTTGTTTTCAATTGAGAACACTGCCGTGTTTGAGAATTTTTTCTTGAACAAGTGAGGATTTTAAATAATTTTAAATTAACTTTAGCTCACTTGCAACTTCTTTTGGATGTGCCTTTATTTAAAAATTTGATAGTTTGTTCATCACAGATTTTTTGCACTGTGACTAAAAAAAAAAATGCATTAAAATATTATTGATCTTGATTACTGAGGTTTTTGATGTTGCCCTTACAATTTCTGCCTAAGGCGAGTATCTCATTCCACGATGAAGTCATCCATCCATCCATCCACCCATTCATTCAACACATAGTTCTTGACTGTCTACTTGGGGCTTGCATTCTACTGGATAGAGATAGACATTAACCAGGGTAAATAAACCACAGCACTAAGAGCCACAGAGAAGAATAGAACAGGGAAGGGGTGGGGAGTGTAGGAAGGGACAAGGAAAGACCTCACTGAGGGATCTTCCAGCAGAGCTGTCAGGGGGTCACAGATGGGATCCCAAGTTGGGAAATCCCAGCAGAGGCCCAGAAGTGAGAGCAGGCCCTGCACATTCACAGAGCAGTGAAGAGGCCCATGGCCCAGTCAACCCACAGGCATGTTTTATTTGGCCCTCACAGTATTAAACTTAAAAAAAAAAAAAGAAAAATGATATGCCTTTAGATGGGCATCTCTCTCCAGTTCACAAGCTCTACTCCTCCCTATTTTCTTGCACTCATATGTTTCCTGGCTCTGAACTCAAGCTGTGGGGATAATTGTGTGCTTTGAACATGTCCTCGGAGCAAGAGAGACACAGGACAGGAAGACAGGGCAAAGCACATCTGGCCTTAAGCTGTGTAGATTGAAGATCAAGGGCAAATCCCCACCCTGCTTCATAATGTGAAGTCATGGTCCACAGTGCCAGGGCAGCAGGCTCCCCAGGAAGGGGTGGGGTTTAAATTCTTCACCAACCAAGAGAAATGGGAAGTTGAGTCACCAAAACTAGAAGGCATATTTTTTTCTTTCAGATCTTAGTTTATGGACTGAGTCACACCTACAAGGATAAAACCTATTCTGCCTCTCCTGTGTTCCAGCCACCTTTGGTCCCATAATCTCTATTTAATCCGCACCACAATAGCTCAAGCTAGATGGAATTTTCCTACTATTATTCCTGGGTGACACAACTGAAATTCAGGGAGATTAAGTGACTTGACCAAGGATGTGCAATGGGCAGCAGGTGAAAGCAGTATCCAGATCTCCTGTGCGTGCCTCCAAAAAATAGACTCTTCCCCAGGAACCTTGCTGCTTGTCATAGAGATGAAGTCCCTCCCTCCATCCCATTGCTACAAGTGTACACAGGGTG